TTTTTTTTTTTTTTTTCGTGCTGACTTTCCAATAATTCTTCGTTGTTTTCTTACTTTTTTCTCCTCTTTGCTGACAAGCTTTCTTCAGCTTTTGGTTAGCCAAACAAATACACACAGATACAGATGTGTCATTATCGATAGTGTCAAGAAGGGCCAGAAGAAGGAATGCCGTTTGCCGGACCACGATGGAAAGAAAAAACAATAATCCGCCAGGAAACAGAAAAACCCTTTTCTGAGTGAAATAAACAGGGAGAATGGTGATATACTGTCTTTTTTATTTCAATTTTGAAGAAGAAAAAAGAACTTAGTAAACAGCATTTAAAATTTCAACGCTGCTAACCGTCGATGACAGGCGACCAGCAGATAAGGGAGGTGGGAAGGGTGAAACGGGTAGAAAAAGTGATGTATTAACTGCAGTTCAACTTTATTCTCTACTAAACTGAACAAAACTGTTAACTGCAGAAATAAACAGCTCAGCGACAAAAATAAAACAAAAAAAAAGAAAAAAAAACAAGATTAAATATTAAAAAAAGTTTATAAAACAGAAAATTTGAAACCTGATTATCGATAAAACAACAACAATACTGTCAAGTTGAAATTTCATTGAAAAAAATTTACAATTGTTAACCAAATTCAGTGGAAATGTTTTTTAAGTTCTGTAATCACACCTGTTGACAAAAATTTTAACTTTTTTATTTCTTATTATTTTTGCTGATGCTTTGTTTTTTTTTGTTTTTTTTTTTTTTCTTTGTTTTGTTTAAACCTTAAAAAAAGCTTCAAAATTCTTATTTTTTTTTTGCTTTTTATACTTATCAAATTTATGTACATAAAAGTAAGACAATGTTTTTTTGCTTTTGTTTTTCTTCCTCTGTCGGATTTTTAATAGTTATTACCAAAGAAGAAGAAAAAATTTGGAGAAAAATCATCTGCTCTTTTTTTCACCGTAATTTCGTCTTTTTTCATCTTCACTTTGTTTCGCGTTTCATACCGCTCGTTTTCTCTTTTCTTCTTCTTTCTCTTCTTTTTTTCCTCTTCTTTGTTCCCGAATTTGCTATGAAACTAATTGAAAGTGATAATGATTAAGTACAAAAGCACCGATTGTTGCAGTAAGAAATGTTGTAAATGAAAATTGTGCTAAATTTGTTGTTGCCGTATCGGCTACGGTACAGTTCAGTTCCTCCACTGGTACTTCCATTAATTTTGCTTTTTTGTACTGTGCCGGTATTGCCCGATAACATAACAACGAATTCTTATCAGCAATCTGAAATATACGCATGCTTTTAAGCTTTTGATGACGTCAACGAATTTCAAAATTACAGCATGAGCAGTTGATAAAACAAAAAAGTTGAAAGCAAACATAAGATTACCCAGCAAAATATTCAACAGACTTTTAACTGCTCTTCAATTGGCAACTTTTTCCGTTTTCTCATTTTCTGTCACTTAGCATTCTTTTCTCATTACCTTTATTTTATTTTTATTTATTTTTTTTTTAGGAGGAAGAAATGCTTTCATTTATCAATTATCTATTTTTTTCTTACATTAAAAAAGAAATAATTTTTTTGGTTTTTTCTTTCTCTTCTTTTCCTTTATTTTTTTTGCGTCAAAGATTTTACGTTTTTTAGAAGAAATTCCCCAAGAAATATGCTAATAGATAATTGATAAATGAAAGCATCAAACATCAATTTTGTACGGCTAATTCATTTTTACTTAACCAAAAAAAATTTTTATACTCTCAATGAAAGAATGAGAAAATGATAATAAGAAATATGTATCAAAGAAAGAAAGGAATTAAGTAAAAATTAGAAACCGAAGTGGAATTTCGAATCCAGTATATGTATTCAGAGCTGTTACAATCGCAGATAAAATGATTGTTGAGAACAATTGAATTTTCCTTCATTTTTGTGGCAATATTGTTCATAAAATTATCACTCAGTCTTGACAAGTTATTTCTGCAAAAAAAAAACAACAAAAAAATACCATTTTTAAGATGAATTTTATATTTTAAAAAGTAAATAACAGTTTACAAAAAGAGTATCATAAAATATCAGCTTCAATTTTGGGTTTATAATTTTTCTACTAAGTTTAGGACAAATAAGCGTAGTCATAGAGTGCATAAAAAGAGGCTTATGAATACCATAGTAACGATAAGGATACTATAATTGTGTAAGCGTATTGACCAATATTGATGAGTTTTTTAAAACTTGACAATATGATTAAGCAAAAAAAGGTAGAATTTAGCAAGAATTTAGCCTAGCCTAACAATTTTAAGTAAGCAACTGAAATTTGATTTGAAAGCAATATACCTGCTAATATCCAATGTTCTTAGCTTTGAAATGCATGATGTATCGATGTCAAATGATTGCAGATAGTTTTGTTTTAGATCCAGTTCAGTTAATGATGGAAATGGGCATGGTAAATTGTATGGTACAGTGGTGAAAAAATTGTAACTTAAATCAAGAATCTGCAAAGCATAAAAAAATAAATTGCTGAAAAAATAAAAAAGTAAAAAAACACTGTTGATTGATAAGTTTGTTAATTTTAAAATTTATAGAAGATGTTATTACTGCTGTATCGGTAACATTTCAACAATCAAATGATTTTAATGTTCAAATAGAAAACATAAGAAACAAGAAATTTTAGTTATTATTTGAAGTTTCTATAATTTTTTGACATTTAGCAACATATATTTGTTGTCATTATTGTTTCTTAAAAAAGATAAATGTATTTGGCAACCAAAAAAACTTACGCTAAGATTTTGTAGATTTGCTTTTTTGAACATTTTCATCAACAGATGCAGTTGTTTTTCATCTTTATTCATTGCAGTAAATGCTCGACGAAGATAAAGCTGAAAATGAAAAAAAAAGCAGATGGAAAACTGAAACAAACTATCGTAGTGTTTGACATTTATCAATTTTTTAACTTTTAGAGTTTCTTTTTTTTTTATTCGTTTTATTATTTTGCTTCATCATAGCTTTAGTGGTATCAACCTTGGTTTTCTATTCATTCTCTTGGCTTTATTTCACATATGCCATCAGTATCAGGAAAGCATTTGTATCAGCAGCATTCACATAGATATTCTATGCTTATTTTCTCAAATATAATTAATGCTAATAATATATGTTCAGTAATTTTTCATAAATTGTTTTTTTTTCTTCTTTA